GTTTTAGAAAGCAGGAACATCTGCCCAGAGATTAAGCAATAGGCCCATGGTTATATAGATCAAACCGTCCTGTTTGATTCAAGTCTAACCATAACCAGCCCTAGGGGATCCCAACATAGAGGTGTAAGGAAGTTAAAACATAAAAGTGACAGAGGTTAGATGTGCTTATGGGATGCTCTTGGAGTCGTTCACTTGGGTGTGTAGTGATGAGCTTGGAGGGGATGTATATCAAGGCCCAGAGAAGATAAGTAACTTACCTAAGGTCACAGCTCCTAAGCAGTGGAGCCCATGTTTCCAGCACTAAAGCCTGTGAAAAACCCTCATGCACAAGATAGGGTTCATCCCCATAAGGAGCTGCAGCTTGGGAGGAAGGAGCTACTAAGTGCCTGGAGTAATTACTTCTAAAGAAGCTTTTGATTCAGTGGACCACCCTCTACTTGAAAGCTTTTTTTCTTCATTTTGATGTGGGATATTAGCATCTCTTGCTTTTTTTCCTAATTTGCTGACTACACCTTTTCTGTCTCCTGACACCTAGCTTTTGGATTGCTCTGGGGCCTATTCCTTAGCCTTCTTTTCTTTCTCTCTGCTAGGTGATCTAATCCATCCCCAGGGATCACCTACCACTCCTATGCTGCTGGCTCACTAGCTTGCCTCCAGCCCTGATCTCTCCCCAGCTTCATGCAGGCTTGTTTATCAACAGCCTCACTTGACGTCATTACAACCCTAACGTGTCCAAACCGAAGCCTTGAATTCTGCCCCAGACGTGTTTGATCACCAGCCCCTGTTCTGCCATCAACACCTAGCTCCCTCTGTTTTTTGAGGCCAGAAGTCTAAGTCATCCTCGATTCTGCTTATTCTTCCCACACCAGTCAGCAAGTCTTCTCAGCTGTCTTCAAAATATATCCCAAATCTGACAGCTTCTCACCGCCTCCACCCCGACCCCTCAGGCCAGACCACCAGTGTCTCTGGCCTGGCCTAGTGCAGCAGCCTCCCAGCTCACCTCCCTGCCCCCGTTCTCACCCTGCTTCAGTCTAGCCCCACAGAGACTGGGAGCATTGTCCTTCACAAAGAGAATTCGGGTCATAACCCTGCTCTATAAAAATGACCCAAGGATTTATCATTACACTTAGAGTAGAATCCAAGCCTCTTGCCAAGGTTCTATGTGATCCACTGTTCTCCATACTCGCCCTGTTCCCGATGACCTTGTCCTTTTAACAAATCAAGCTCCTTTCGGCTTTGGAGGCTCTACATTTGCTGTTCCTGCCTAGAACACTGCCCCCAAGATCTTTGCCTGGTTTGTGGCTTCTCATCCTTTAGGTCGCTGCTCGCATATCACTTCACTGATGACCCTGTCGGAAATCCCAACTCCTCTCACGTCCAAGTGACGGCTCACCCTGCTTTGTTTTCCATCACCCTTTTCACAAGCAGACCTTATTTGTTGCCTTTCCCCCACACTTGAGTGTGAGTTCTGCGAGGACAGAAACAGTGTCTGTTTTGTCTGCGGCTCCATCCCTGGCACCCGAACTAGTGCCTGGCACATCATAAATGCTCTAATAATGTATGAGTGGATGGACAGCTATGTCTATGTACTTATAATCCTGTAAGGGGTCTAAGTGACATTCATGGAAATACCGTGTGAGCCGCACATATGACTTTAAGACTTTTAGTAGCTACCTTAAAAAATACAAACAGGTGAACTTATAAATATATTTTATATATCTATATATGAAGTTATAAATACATCTCAGTTCAGACTAGCCACACTTCAAGTGCTTAAGAGCCATGCGTGGCTAGTGGCTACCATATTAGTAAAAGTGTAGACAGTCTAACTGTACTGTTCTTGTTCCCTACTTCCTTGTGAGATCCAGAACAGAAGGAAGCTAGAAACTTCTGACAGATGGGGACACGTGTCTTTTGTAGCTATCCCTGCTTCCTCTCCCTCTTCGGAAGGAATCCTTGGGGATGTCCAGGCTAACAGAGGCATGATCGTGTCCTTAGAAGAATAATAATGATGACAACGATTGACCTTCTACTCTGGCTGAGCACATTGTTTAGTTCACTCAACTATCCCATTTTACAGATTAGGAAGTAGGTTCAGGAAAGCAAAGTAACCCGTTAAGATTTCCACATCTGGTAGTGTTAGAGCTGCAGCATGAGTTTGGCCCAGAGTTAAAGCCAGTAGTAGATTCAGTATGCCGTAGTTTTTAATCTGCCACGAATGGTCCATGTGGTGTGGACGAATTAAGGTAAAGACAAAGGATAGAAGGGAGCTGACCTGACTCCTGGACTCGTTGCCTCCATCCTCGTTTTCTCTTTTAGTTTCTCAGACACCTTAAGTCTGACTTTAGTGTTGGACTGTGTTTAGGTCTCAGCTCCACCAATCATGAAAATCAACAAATCCTCCATTTTCTCTTCTGGAGAATAGGAATGCTAGTACTAATGTCGAGGGCATTTGAGAACGTCCAGTAAGATGATGATGATGTCCGTAAAGCACCGAGCACAGTGCAGGTGGCTAGTCGCCACTCAGGGTTCGCCCCTCTTTCCCCTCCTGGTTGCTAACAGAAGCAAAGTGTCACCTGACCACCCAACTCCACCCCTTCTCTTGCGTTTTCTCCTGTGGGGTCCTGGAAGCCACTGCCACTCTTAACTCAGCATTAGGGCAGGTGGAAGGATGTGCGGCAGGTATCTGAACTTGGGTCTGGGAACCTACCCAACACTAACAAGCTTCTTTCTGTAGCACACAAAAATGAGTAAATGGAAGATCCTAAGCGCCGGGTAGATGCTGGGTGTGCTGAGGGTCTGGATTGTTGAGAGTTCATCTGAGAAGGCTTCTTGGAGGACAGACTGAACAGGCTCTGGCAGGGGAGAGATGTGACTTGGTGCAGTGAGAGGATCTTGGGGAAGCACCAGAGTGACATCCTCTACTAACTTAACAATCATCGAACGACTTCTATTGTCAGGCCTCGTGCTGGGCACAGGGGACCACAGCCTGCGCTCAAGTTGCTTCCCCTGTACTAGAGGAGGAAGACAGGATAGGCCAGAATAGTGCCATCATAGCTGCCACATTGAGACCCTCAGAGAGGCTCTTACCTTCTCCCTCTCATTTCTCTCCCACACCCTTGGGATGCTTTTCACAACGGCTCCTAATCCGGCTCCTTCCTCCCATTCCCTTCTGTTGCCGTCCAGCAATATGTCCCTGCTCTGGCCTGCCTCATCTCTCCTGCAGTATTACAGAGCCTTCTTCCACACTAGCTGCCAGAATCGTCTTTCTAAACCAACCTGACCATGTCACTTCCCTACTTTAAACTATTTTCAGGACTGAGTCTAAGTTCCTCGCTTTGTCATCCACCCAACAAATACTGGGGTGGGATGTGGGGGGGGGCGGGACTTACCATATGCCTAAGCAGTTCTTATAGGTGCAAAGATACAGCAGTGAACCAAACAGCAAAAGCTCTGCCCTGGGAGCCCTTCACAGTCTGGACCCCAGCCACCCTTTACAGCCCCATCTTCCCCAAAGCCCTTGCAGCCCACCTCCCACATGCCCTGCACTCTGGTCTCTTCACCCCCCCTTGCTGGCCACGATGGAGAGACCAGTCCCCTCCTCCCAGACCCCTCCATTCCCCGCCCCCAGGGTGGCCTAGGCTCCTCTGTAAATTGAAGCCCCCTTTTCTGCCAACTAGAGCTACCCACCCAGCCCCTCCCCTGCCTCTTGGGGATTGTGAGCTAAGAGCCAGGGGTGAGAGGCTTGGGACCCGTGCGGCTCCCCCAGTCCCCGGCTGGCCTGCTCCACCGCACAGGAAGAGGGTTAAGAGGGCTGCCCTCACCCCACCCAGGAATATCTGGTCCCCAGGTAGGCATCCGAGGCAGCGCATGCTCCTCCCCAGAGTGCTTCCCTCCCCAGAGTGCTGTCAGCGACCAGCCCCCGCCGGGGGTGGGGGGGCGGGGGGGTGGAGCCGTCGTGGAGGCGAGCCTGGCTCCCTCTTTTCCATCTTCGGGCGCCCGGCGGCGTCCGGGCTGGTGCTGCAGCCCGGCGGGATTCGGACGCCGGCGGGGAGGGGGCGGGGCTGTCTGTGGCGGGAGTGGCCCGCGAGGCTGGGCGTGGGGGCATCTCTAACCGCAGTGGCTGCGCCGGGTGTCCCGGGGCGGCGGGAGCCCCCTCCCCACCGAGCGCATGCCCGCTCTAGTTTGCGCCCCGCTTCCAGGCACAGGAGCCGCACGGCCTCGGGGTCATACCCCTCTCCCCTCTGGTGCTGCCCACTCTCCCCGTGCCCTGCCCTTCCTGCTCGCCGGCTTCTCTGCCCTCGCTGCCCTCAGGGCTGCCTTCCTTTTCCTCCCTTTCTCCCCTCCACTCCCAACCATATCTGACCCAGACACCTCCGGACCAAGCATCACTGCGACGCTACAGGGTCACGTGGGCATATCCCCGACTGTGGCCTCCCTGCCCATTGCACTTCAGTCCCCCTCCGCCACCCCCCCCGCCCGGACCGCGCCGCCTCATTGTGCTTTGGCACCTTTCTCCGCTTTGCCAGGAGGGACCCCCCTTCATCCTTGGAGACCCTCCCTAAATATCCCATTAGTGACAGTTTCCCCTGCTGCCACAGCCGACTTAGTCTGGTCTTTCCTGGTGCACCCACAGCGACGGGACAGACCCTGTGCAGCATGACCCTTGCCACACTGCCTTCATTTCTCTACACGGATCTGCCTCCCCTATGAGACTCCTTGCCTCTTGAGGATACAGCCTAGCTCTTGTTCTCTCTGCCCCCAGAACGCAGTCCCGCCTCGGAGCAGGCATCAACACATGCATTTAAAAATGAGTAAATGGAAGATCCTAAGCGCCGGGTAGATGCTGGGTGTGCTGAGGGTCTGGATTGTTGAGAGTTCGTCTGAGAAGGCTTCTTGGAGGACAGACTGAACAGGCTCTGGCAGGGGAGAAATGTGACTTGGTGCAGTGAGAGGATCTTGGGGAAGCACCAGAGTGACATCCTCTACTAACTTAACAATCATCGAACGACTTCTATTGTCAGGCCTCGTGCTGGGCACAGGGGACCACAGCCTGCGCTCAAGTTGCTTCCCCTGTACTAGAGGAGGAAGACAGGATAGGCCGTGCCAGGGCAGCGTGCCCGGTGTCACACGGTGAGCACACGGAGATGCGGCAGTGTAGAGGGGCGCCTGGCTGGGGTGGGGGGGTCAGGCTTCCCTGAGAGCAGAGGGAGAGCCAGCTTCATCATAAGGGCTGGTACACCAAAAGAAGGAGATGGACTCCATCCTGGGCGCCTGGGAAGCCATGGACAGCTTGCACAAAGTGGGGTAGTGACATGATCTAGTCCTGCACGCCACTGCCCAGCAACGCCTCGCCTCGGACCCCCTCACCCGAGAAGCCTTCTCTAAGCCCCCTGTCAGGCTGGACCCCTCTTCTATGTTCCCCTGGCAGCCTGGCCACCTCCCCTTTTCTGTGCAGTTGAATACCTCTGCTCTACTGAACTCCTTGAGACATGAGACCAGGTCTTAATCTTCTCGGTGTCCCAAGCACCAGGCAGTGAATCTTGCTCATGACCAAATGTTTGCTGAATGAATGGATTGCTCCTTTTTTCTCTGAATTTCTAGAGCCCTTACTCTGAGGTCCACATTCTTTCACACCCGGGACCCATGCTGTATGCTGACAATGTCATTTAATTGGGAAAGAGGAGGCCCGATTCAAATCCTGGCTCCATCATTCACTGGGACAAGCCATTTGACTATCTTGAAAACTCAGTTTCCTCACCTGTAAGGTGAAGAGTCTGAGAGTCCCCACATGCATGAGTGTTGTTTCCCTGGGTAGACTGGACATTCCATGAAGGTTTTCCCCAGCACCTAGCTTAGTCTGAGCTTAGGGAGAATACAGTGCTCAGGCCTCTTGGTTGGTAGACAGCAGAGTGCAGAGTAGAAGGGAAAGAACATTTAAGGTGACGTTGTAAGTCCTGTTCTGCCACTTCTGGTGTGATTTTGAGCAAGGCTCTTCCCCTCTCTGAGTCTTCTTTGCCTTACCCTGCGAGTAGGGGTAGTAACCCTCACCTGGCCGGCCTCACGGGGCCAATGGAAACCACGGATGTGAAAGTGCTTCCTGAATGAAAGGGATGATATAGTAGATAATTTATCATTAATTTAAAAAATAACCGAAGTAGTGCAGATGAGGTGTGTCTGGTGATTGGTAGAAATGCCCCAGGTATGTGCTGACTACCTCTGAGGGGCCAAGATGCTGGCCTGTGGCTCTCCAGGCAGGGGTGGGCTGGGCTGGGTGCAGAGGTGTTTGGTCTTGCTGGGGTCAGCCTTGAGGCCCAGAAGAGCCTGGGAGGGGGGGCTCCTGGGGAGGGAGTAGGCAGCCAGCCCTTGTCTCCCCTCCCCTCTCTGATTTCTCAGCCAGCATTCTTCTTGTCTTAGGTTTGGAAGGGCCCTGACATCTGAGAGGGTCTCACAAGTCCCGATGGCCTTGGTGAATGAGACTGGCCTGGGGGGGCGGGGAGTGAGCCCCATGAACCCTGCCCAGTTCCAAACTCCAAGCCCAGCCCCTCCCAGCCTCTGATATCTTGGTGGCCGGGTTTATGGGAAAGGACCATAATTTGTCTTAACTCTTGCCCAGACCAGAGGGGCCTGGGGCTAGACACGGGCTGAGAGGAGGTAGAGGCTCAGCTTCCTCCCCTCTCAAATGAGTGAGGATTAAATGAGGAAGCAGCTGTGAAAACACCTTGGAACTTGTGTATTTCACTCAGGGGCAGGATTACTGTTTGTGGGTAGCGTGCATAGCAACCAGTGGGGCTTCCCTGTTCCAGGGAGCCCTGGGGCTCTTCCTCCAAAAGAGACTTCATGTCACAAGCAGTCTATGTGTACGGAGTGCGTGTTTGGTCTTAGAGGAAGAGCAGAGCCTGCCAGGCTGTGAAGACATAGCCCGGAGGGGCTGGGAGGTGTGAGGAGCCCCCCGCAGGGCTGCTGCCACAGGGGGAGGCTGATGCTGCCCTGCAGGGCTGGCCAACTGAGCTCCTACTTGGTCTCCCGCCCCACAAACCTCCTCCTGCCCAGAGCTGTGCCCCCAGCCAAGGAAGCACCAGATTGAGAACCGGGCAGCAGGATTACCTTCTACTCCCCTAGCATGTCACTTTGAGCCAATGTCTCTCATTCGTAAAATCATGATAGCACCATCTTCTGAGGTTGTCAGGATCAGGAGAGAGAACATAGTAGAAGGTGCTTGTGAACTCTTCTGTGCTGTCCATGTTCATTTCTTGTGTCTCACCTCTTCCCCTGTGGGAGCTGGGCCTGCTGTTCTGGTTGGGGCCCGTCAGAACCAGGACCTTGGGGCACTCCAGCGGCAGCGCTGTCCTGAGGGAGTGAGCGTGGCCTGCGGAACAAAGGAGGCTGACTCCATGGCGGTCTCTTCTGTGCTTTCTACCCCTCAGGGAACTTCTCACCCCCTGGGCTATTCCTGGGGGGTGGGGGGGTTGCCCCTTCCCAGGGTTCTTTTTTATTCCTCTGGGGCTCACCCCACAGGACTAAAAAAGTATTAAAAGTAGCTTTGTAATTGTTTTAACAAGGGCTCACCTATGACAAAAGGCTCATCTCTCAGACGGGGGAAGGGTCCATACCCCTCGTCCCCTGGGCCATGGGGGTACCAGAAGAGTCACCACATGGGCTGGAGGGAGGTCTGCACTATAGGCAAAAGGGGTACAGTCAACTGGTTGTGCGGGTTCACTTGCTTTGCTGTTGTGCTTCCCCAAGACACTCATCCTCAGCACCTTTGTCTTTACCTCCTGGTCTCCTCCATCTGCCTCCTGTCTCTCTCATTCCAGACAGTGAAACAGTGTTGGGAGGGCGCGGTTCGGGGATGAGGTCTGGCAAACAGGAACTGCCTGGTCCCTGGGAGCCTCTTTTGGGACTCTTTGACCTTGGGAACCCTTACCCCTCTCCCCTGAGCCCCAGATCACTGCACCAGTTTCTTCCTGACCAACGACCGGAGCTGTCCCCAGATGAATGAATTTTCCTGGAAGGACGTTACCAATGCCTTGTCCCTGGCCAACCTGATCCTGGGGCTCTTCTCCATCTTCTGCAGCTTCTGCAAGTAGGTCTAGGGCCCAGCAAGCTCCTAGCCAAGAGCTGGAGTCAATGGCATGAGGGAAGGAAGTGGGGAGCCTAGTGAGCCAGGCACTGAGACACAGGATCAACCAGGGGCAGGAGAAAGTGTAGTGGGCTGGGAGTCAAGGGGCCAAGATCCTAGCCATACTTCTACCACCAACCTGACATGTGACTTTGGCTAGGTCATATCTCTGAGCCTTGGTTTCCCCATCTCTAAAATAAGGAGCTTGGGCGCCTGGGTGGCTCAGTTGGTTAAGCGACTGCCTTCGGCTCAGGTCATGATCCTGGAGTCCCGGGATCGAGTCCCGCATCAGGCTCCCTGCTTGGCAGGGAGTCTGCTTCTCCCTCTGACCCTCTTCCCTCTTGTGCTCTCTATCTCTCATTCTCTCTCTCTCTCAAATAAATAAATAAAATCTTTTAAAAAAAGTTGGTTAAAACAAGGAGCTTGCACTGTGATCTCTATAGTTCCTTCCAGCTATGGCAGTCTAGAATGGTTTTTATGAGAGAAATGAAGAGATTCTGTTCTGGTGGCCCTTACTTAATCCTGCCTACTTAATGGTAAGCAGGCTACCATTCAAAATTTTTGATTCTTTTTTTTTTTTAAGATTTTATTTATTTGACAGAGAAAGACACAGCGAGAGAGGGAACACAAGCAGGGGGAGTGGGGGAGGGAGAAGCAGGCTTCCCGCGGAGCAAGGAGCCAAATGCGGGGCTTGATTCCCAGGACCCTGGGATCATGACCTGAGCCGAAGGCAGACGCTTAACGATTGAGCCACCCAGGCGCCCCTAAAATTTTTGATTCTTAAATTAGAACATATGATGTGGGGGAATATTTACAATTAGCACTATTGTGGAAAATCTGAGACATGTATATGGGCCCCTAAAAAGCAAAGCAAATTATATTTTGTAAGCAAATTATATTTCTATAATTGAATCATATTTCAATGCCTTGGCAAATCAGTTCTTTAAAGAGAAATCCTTTATAATGCAGGTATCCTCCTCTGGTTTTATTCTCTATGACCAGCAGCATGTGACTTCTCTGGATCACTTTCTCATCCATAATTTAAGATGATCTTACCTGATGATGTCTGAGTTCCCTTCCAGTTTGAAAATTTTTTGATGCTCTAAGTCTGGATTTGTGGAGTCTTATACAGTACATCACACCTGCAACAGAAAATATCTTCTTAGTTCAGTCTAATCATCTGGGAGTGTAGTTTTTATGGCACAATGGTGAACCCAGTTCCCTGTAGACACATAGGTATGGATCTAAAGGAAGGTAGTGCTGAGGTGGTTTAGAGACAGCTGAAGTCTGGGGTCAGGCTCTCTGCTTCTGCTTGGCCATCCAAACACTGCAGTCAGGGTGCAGACTCAGGAATGGCATCCTGGGGCAGCCTTGCCTGAGACTGTGGTGGCTGCTTTCAGAGCAGTCTGGGAGCATGTGTTGGACTTCAGCGCAGAATACTCAAATGTAGGGTCTGCAAGAGGTCTTAGAAATCATTTAGAGCATCAAAATATGTGAGATGAAAATGGAAAGAACTGCAAGGAGAACTTGACAAATCCACTATCATAGTTAGATAGTTCAACACCCCTCTACCAGAAATTGACAGATCCGGTTGGCAGAAAATCAGGAAGGAGATAGTTGAACTGAACTGCACCATCAATCAACCGGATCTAATTGACGGTTATAGAATATTTTATCCAGTAACAGCAGAATACACATTCTTCTCTTTGCACATTCAGGCTAAGACTGAATTTAAATTTAAAAGAATAGAAATCATACAAAGTATGCCCTTAGACCACATGGAATTAAAGTAGAAATCAGTAACAGAAAGATAACTAGAAATCCCCAAATATGTGGAGGTTAAACAACACAATTCTAAATAATACATGAGTTATAGAAGAAAAGTATTTTGAACCAAAAGAAAATGAAAGTACAACTTATCAAAATTTGTGAGACGCTGTAAAAGCAGTAGTAGTTAGAGGGGAATGTATAGCATTGAATGCATATACTGGAAAAGAAAACTGCTCTGTGAAAGACAACGTCTGGAGAATTAGAAGACAAGCTGTAAGCTGGGAGAAAGTATTTGCAAAAGGTACATCTGATAAAGGACTAATAGACAAAAAAGACAATAGACAAAATAGACAAAGCTTAAAAACTCATCAGTAAGAAAACAAACAATTAAAAAATGGGCCAAGGACCTTAACAGACACCTCACCAAAGAAGATCTACAGATGGCAAATAAGCATGTGAAAAGATGCTCCACACCATATGTTATCAGGGAGATGCAAATTAAAGTAACAATGAGATACCACCACACACCTATCAGCCAAACCAGTTGTCCAGAACACTGATAACACCAAATGCCAGCGAGGGTATGGAGCAACAGTGGGAATACAACATGGTGCAGCCACTTTGGAAGACAATTTGGCCGTTTATTACAAAACTAAACATACTCTTACCATATGATCCAGCAATCACACTGTTTCCTATTTATCCAAATGAGTGAAAAGCTACGTCCACACAAAAACCTGCAATTGGATGTTTATGATGTTTTATTTGTAATTGCCAAAACTTGCAAGCAACCAAGATACCCTCTAGTAAGTGAACAGATGAATAAACTGTGGTATTTCCAAACAGTGTTACTTAGTGCTAAAAAAAAGAGCTATCAAGCCATGAGAAGATGTGGAGGAATCTTTAGCTCATATTACTAAGTGAAAGAAGCCAATCTGAAAATGCTACATACTGTATGATTACAGTAATATGATATGATAACGCTGGAAAGGCAAAACTCTGAAGACAATAAAAAGACCAGTGGTTGACAGGAGCGGGTGGGGGGAAATGAATAGGTAGAGCATAGAGGATTTTTAGGACAGTGGAAATGCTCTGCATGATACTATAATGATGGATACATGTCATCACACATTTGTCCAAAACTACAGAATGTATAACACCAAGAATGAACCCTAAGGTAATCTACGGACTTTGGGTGACTATGATGTGTCAGTGGAGTTTCATCCTCTGTATGTACGAAGAATCTAAATGTACTGTTCTCGTGAGTGATGTTGCCAATGTGGGAGGGTATGCATATGTGGGGGCAGGGGGCATATGGGAAATTTCTGTAGCTTCCTTTCAATTTTGTTGTAAACCTAAAATCTCTCCAAAAAAAAAAAAAAGTCTTAGAAAAACTGAAAAGAAGGGAGATATAAAATCAATAATGTAAGGTTTCTACCTTAGCAAACCAGGAGGGGAAATGCAAATTAAATCCGAAGTAAGCAGAAGAGAAGAAATAATAAAAATGAGAGCAGCTGTCAATGAAACTGAAAATAAAAAAATCAGTAGAGAAAATCAATGAAACCAAAAGCTGATTCTTTGGAAAGATCAATTAAATTGACAAGCCTCTAGTCGGGCTAACCAAGAAAAGTAAAGAAAAGAAGCGAAGACACAAAATACCAATATCAGAAATGAAAGAGGAGCCATCACTACTGATCCCATGGACATTAAAAGTATAAGAAAGGAATATTATGAACAACTCTATAAATTTGATAGCCTAAATGAAATGGACCAATTCCGTAAGTCATAAGTTACCAAAACTTGCACTAGGAGAAATAGATCATCTAGATAGGCCTATATCTATTAAGTCATTTGGCACAAACCCCTCATTTTACAGATGGAGGAAGGGAGGCCTAGAGATGCAGGGAGAGATTTCTCTGAGAATCCACAGTGAGATGGTTGCAAAGGCTGGGCTAAAACACAGGACTCCTGTGCTCTCAGATATGCCTGGGACTTAGAGCTGGAAGGGACCTTACTGATTATCTACGGCACTTCAGGCACCCCTTTAAGACTGTGGGTTGAGAGTATGGCAGGGGTGTGTGTGTGTGTGTGTGTGTGTGTGGTGTATAAAACAGTGTATTTCAGAAAGAACATGAGTGTGGGGAACACGCAGGGCAGGGGTGTGTGCAGGTGTGCAAATGTAGGAAGTGTGTTGGTGTATGTGGAGTGGTTGGCCAGTGGAGACCAGGAAAGAGCCGTCCTATTTGGGCCTGCTGCCATACACTTTAGGAGATGCCACAGTGCCTCCTGGATGCTTCTGATCAGCTTCCTGTTAGACATGGCAGTTGGGGCGATAACCAGACACCTCAGCCTCTGCTCCAAGTCAGGTGAGTCCAGGCCTCAGACCCCTGATCCCTGACCCCAGGAGCCCCCATCTCAAACCCGCCCCGCCAACATCCAACAGTCCTCCATTGGTCACCACTCCTGTTCACAACCCTCCGAGGATGGCAGAAGCAGCCCTAGAGCCGTCCGGGAGCCCCACAGTCTAGAGCTAGCCCTCCGCTGGCTCACTCGTTAGCTTCAGCCATCCTTGCCCTGGCCTCCCCGTTGGGGCCGATCCAGGGATTGGGATTGGGGTGGTGGCTGAGGTGGTGGTGGCCGAGCAGCTGGTCCAAAATACAAGGAACTATTTTCGTGTAAGATTGTGCTTGAAAAAAGAGTTCCCTAACTTGTCAATTTGCATCCAGTCGTAGTCCCAGTCCTGGATGCTAAAGGGTGGGAAACTAAGACCCGAGAGGGGAAGACTTGTCTAAGGCCGCAGGGCCAGCGTGAGGCAGAGCCAGGAGGAGCCCCTGTCTTTGATCCCCCCGGGGAGCAGCTGTGGCTCTCTGGGACCTCAGACCCTGCTTGGCACCACTGCAGCTCCCCCGCCAGAGTGGACTAAGGCGCAAGACAAATGAGTGTAAGTTCTAACCTTGGCCTTCTGGAGCAGGAGTGGAGCTGAATGACTTTGCGATCTTCACCACCTTCGGCCTGGCCTCAGCCCTGCTCCTCGGCGTGGACGGGCCTCTGAATGGGTTCCTGGCTGTCATCTATGTGTTAGCTGCTACTTTCCGCCTGTGTTTCTATTCAACTGGTGAGTGAACCCCAGCTCCGTAGCTGAGCATCGGGAGCCAGGGAGGGGGAGCTGTTGGGTGCCAGAAGCCAGGGGGACAGTGGCTGACTCTCCCCCTCCTTTGTGGAGTCCCTCTTCCTTCTCCTGCGCCCCAGGCCCACTGAAGGCTGCGGGCTGCACTGGCAGAGCCCTGGTTGGGGGCAGGGGCCCGGGGTTCTCCAAGCAGCTGTGCCTTTTTCTTATTGTGTGACCTTTAGAGGGTGCACAGAGACTCACAGAATCTAGAACCAGAGGTCATCCTCCAGTTTTCCACAACAGACGGAGAAATGGAGCTCTGTCAAGGGCAGTTGCCTTGCCCAAGTTCCCAGTGCAAGGGAGGGCAGATGCAGACCAGACGACCTCAGGAGACCCTTCTACAGAGCTGTCCTCCGGGCCGGGGCCCCTGCCTGGTCCTGGCAGCCTGCTTCCCCGTGGGGATCTGGTGCCGAGTCCTCTCTGTGAATGACTAAATGCTTTACAGCCTGCCACTGCCCTGCAAGGAAGGGGATTTGGAACGTGGGGCAGGGAAGACCCAACGAGAGGGGCTTGCTTTGGTTTAGATTGCATTAGGGCGGTGGGAAGCAGCTAATGCCCAGCTCTTCTTTCTCCAGCAGATGCTCAGCTCACGTACAGGGGTCTACCCTGCCGCTATGCTTCCTGTGTCTTAGCCTCCACCTCCCTTCTGACCAAAGGCAACACGTTCATTCTCTCTTGCATGGCCTCACTTATGGTTCTATTCATGATGGACCAGAGCTACTACCCACACGATGAAATCCTGGAGTCTGAGAACTGGAAAAAATTGGTTTATATGGGAGGTGAGTGAAAATGGCTGCTCGCAAATGTCACCAGTGATTCTTTATTATCCCTGCTGCTCACTGCCACCCTGTAACTCGCCCCAGCTTTCCCGAGCTGCCTTACCCTGCTTTATCTTTCCGCATGGGGTTCATCGTCATCTGGCATGCCTTTCCTTGTTCATTGTCTCCACACACTAAACCTGCGCCCGGCTAGAGAACTCTCTTTTAGGCACACAATAATCTCTGGACCCAGGATTGTGCCAACCACGGGGTAGCTGCTCAGTGAGTGTTTGTTGAATGTTGTCAAGTTCAATCGGGGACACCTGCCATACGCCAGGTGCTGGGAACCAAATCGGTAAACCAGACAAACACTTCCCACCTCGGGCTTTACAGTCTGATAGGGGAGACAGACACCAACAAAATGATGACAGACATAACTAGAAATGCATCGTTGTGATGCGTTGTGGAAGCACAGGGTGCTCTGAGAGGGTGTTGGAGGGGGACCTAGTTAGAAGGAAATGGCCTGAAAGGGGGGAAAGGCTGCTTCAGATGGTGACATTTAAATGGCACCTGGGTGAAGGTGGTCAAAAGGTATAAACTTCCAGTTATAAGTAAGTCCTAGGGACATAAGGGACAGCGTGGTGACCACAGTTAACAATACCATATCGTATATTTGAAAGGAGCTAGGAGAGGAGAGCTTAAAAGTTCTCATCACAAGAAAAGAAAACGTGTAACTCTGTGTGGCGGCAGATGCTTACTAGACTTTCTGTGCTGATGGTGTCACACACAAATATCGAATCCTTATGTTGTACACCTTGGACTAATACAATGTCATATGTCCATGATATCTCAATGGAACTGGAAAAAAAAAAAACAAAACAACCTGCAAGATGACTGGCTAGGTGGGTGAGAGGGGTAGTTCAGAAAAGAAAATGGTATTTCGTGAAGGCTCTAGGCTAGAAGGTGCTGGAATAATTCGTGCAGCCGTGTGGCTGGAACTTGCTGAGAGACGCTAGGGACAGAAGCCGAGGCTGCGAGATGGGCAGCTTTGGGGAACCGATCCTAGCAGCAAATGGGAAGCCTTTGAAGGGATTTCTGAGCAGCGGTTTTAAGTGGCTACTTTGACTCAGTGGCGGGAGAATGACCAAAGGAGGAAAACAGACCCGCCAGCCCGTATTAATTGCATGAACTTGGGCTAATTACCTCATTGTTTTGAGCTCAGTTTTCTTCATCTATAAAATGAAGCCATTAATCCCTAACTCAGGATTCTTGAGATTAAATGAGATAATGTATACCAATCCTCTGGCATAGATGTGTCCTGTAAATGGAAACTTCTAGACTCCTTCTTCCCTCCACCTGCACTCCTATCTCATAGCAACAGTGTTTCCCACGATATTCTTTGCTCCTATAGATAGATACCACTGATCCCCTCTCCTCAAAATACACCATACGCTTGGCCTCAGCCTTCCTTGGATTGTCTTGGCTCTGTGAGTAAAGGAGGAAATTGCACCTCACGGATTTTGACACTATTTAATACCAGAGCCCTACTGGATAGATTTTAAAATGGCCACTGTTAATATTCCTCTTACCTGGAGTGCAGATAGTCACCTTTTTACTTATTTATTTATGAAATTTTTTTGGAGAGAGAGAGCACGCGGGAGAGGACCAGAGGGAGAGGGAGAGAGAGTCTTAACCAGGCTCCACGCCCAGTGTGGAACCCAGTGCAGGGCTTGATCTCACCACCCTGAGATCATGACCTGAGCCAAAATCAACTGTTGCACGCTTAACGGACTGAGCCACCCAGATGCCCTCATTTTATTTTTTTTTAAGATTTTATTTTTAAGTCATCTCTACATCCACTGTGGGGCTCGAACTCACAACCCCGAGATCAAGAGTTGCATGCTCCACCCACTGAGCCAGCGGGGCGCTCCAATCCCCTTTTTAGACTGAGGTTCCGTCTCCTCCACAGAACTTCTGAGAAGCTGGCCTGTGGCTACTGAGACCTTATGTCACATATTTTCCAGGACAACTAAAATATTGTCTCATTGCCTTAACAGATCAATGACCATTCTTAAATATTAAGTATCCCAAAGTTCTGATCCATCTCTGTAACTGCCTCTTGTCCTTAGAATTGGTCTTCTGCCAGATCAAGTGTTCTGATTTCTCTTGAGGAATGCGTGGTGGTTATCCCCATGGACATGCTGTTGCCCCATACTCTCCCACCTTCTTTTTGAGCTCTCTGAGGCTAAGTGTCTACTTTTTTTACAAAAGTAGACATGGGTTTGAATCAAGACCTCGTGCAGGTTACATCCCCTCTGTCTCCTCATCTGAAAAACAGACGTGATTCTGAATCAGACCATTATTGTGAAATGTAAATGGAACAATCTTTGTGACATACCTAGCAGAATGTCTAATGCAAAGAAGATATCCCACAAGTGTTGGCGCCCTTTTGCCTTTCAGTGGTGAAGCTGAGAATCAAATGTGTTGGGGCTCCCCCAAGACCACCCCCAGGTTCATTGATTCTCTAGGGACTCACAGGGTGCCTATAGTTAGACTCATGGCTAAGATTTGTCACAGCAAGAGGACACAAGGCAAGAGCAGCAAAGGGAAGGTGAAAGGGGCAAAATCTGGGCCCCTCTGGGGCCACCCAGCATGAAATTGTGGCAACACTCATGAAGTGTTATCTAGCTGGAAGCTCTGTAGAGACCCAGTGCCCAAGGTTTTCATGGGGGCTGGCCACATCAGCACCCTCGGCCTAGCAGTACCAAAACTCTAGATTTTCACAGAAGGAAGTCAATCTCAGCACCATCTAAGCACAGTGAGCCACTCTCGCCCACGAGGGAAAGTCCTATACTGGTATAGGGAACTGTTTACCAGCCATGTTCCCAGACTCCAGACAGGAATAACCGGGTAAGCAGAAACAGGCCTTTCAAGGGAGAGCTGCCTCAGGTCTGCTGTGTTCTTCTGCATACGAGTAACATTGTGTTGGCCATTGTCACGTGTTAAACTTGACACAATCATATATAACAAGGGGCCCGGGCAACTCAAATATATTCTCGGCTAAGACTGGATTTCTGATCTGAATCCAACAAAATGGAACCTGAGCTTGCGTCCGATTATAATTGTCTAGTTACAAACAGACACTACCTCCTTAAGGGCAGGGCTCACGTCCCATTGGTTTTTGTCTCTTCAGCACCACGAGTACAAACCGTAAGATGGGAGGATGGGGATGGGAGAGAAGAGGCTGAAGGAGGGCTTCATAAAAACGGAGCGTTTGCCTTTTTTCTTCTAGGTGCCATCATGCTGCTCTCGTCTCCGTTCTCTCTGACTGCGTTTTACTGCCTGTTGTGGTCACTGTCCTACATCTTCTTTCCAGATGCTCTGTGGGGCAAAGCAGTGCGCCTCAGGCTACAGGGCCAAGGAAACTAAACAGCTTCACCCACGGCCACTGGCCTCTGTGGGGTCCGTGCCGGCCCGTCAGGCCAAGCCTTGCCTTATCCTCACTAAATCTTTCCCTGTCCCCACGTCTCCTGGGTGCCAGATAACGTGTGGCCTTGAACCAGAGCAACCCCCTGCAGGCCCGGCGGCCTTCACGTCTTCCTCTTTGCTCCGGGTTCGGGATCCCTTGGGGACAACAGCTGTTTATATCCTATAGCACAGAATGTTTTCCAAGCTCAAGTTGGGCCCGGCTGAGTTCCAGCCCTGTTACCAGGTGGGGGCGCTTGTGCACTCAGGTCAGTCCCTCGGAAAGGAGTGAAAGCCTGTAGAATTGGTCTAGTCTCCAGCTGGGCCTGTCTGGTGGTAAAGGCTCCAGGGGCAGGTGGGGCTTACTGAAGCGTTTCTTAAACTTGCAGGCTCTGGCTTGGTAGAGCTCATCACAGGACCATCACATGGCCCAGTGTAAATGCACATAGGATTTTGGAACTTGAAATTCTGTACTTGAACGGTCCAAGCTTCTGCCTTTTGCTTCAGTGAAGAGATTAGACACCCTGGCAGCTTGAGGGTATCCCCTGGCTTCCATCTGGTTTTCTCCTAAACGATAAAATACTAAACTCTAGATATTCAAATGCCACTGCGTATTCTAAAATCCAAATTGAGTAAAAATAAAGAGTATTGTATGGACCCTCCCAGTTGCCCCTCCCAAAGAAATGAGGCCAGCTGAAGGCAGCGACGCCCAGCACTGCCTCTGGACCCCCTTCCATCTCCAGGCAGTGTACCGAAGGACTGGTGGCTACTTCGGCCCCTTCCGCAACTATGGAGCCAGGGCCCTTTTTACCTAATTTCTTGAAGTTTGCAGAACAGTGTATTTGGTAGATATGCCCTAAGTCTAAAATTGGATTTTGAAAAATAACAGTCCAGTGAATCACATGGCTACAACCTGGCTTTAAAGGAACAGATAGCGCCTTCCTGGCCCCTGCGGTCCTCTATCCGTGTCTCTATTATATCATTTATGTTTTCCATGGGTGGATGAAGATGTCTGTGTCCCACCAGATTTTAGGCTCCTTCGGTTTACATTTTTTTAAATATCTGCTGCTTACCACAGTACCTGGTACTCAAAAATGTTTGCTTTGTAGATGAATTGATTTCCCTGTGCATTCTAGCGGGTTATATACAAGATTACTATAATGTAGTAAGAATCTTACAAATGGATACCTACATACACATACAAATATGTGCTGTCCTTTGGTACTATACCCTCATTTCAGAGATGCTACACTTCATCAAAATATTTAGGAAATGCAGCTCGAGAACTGTGTTCACATAAGCTCTTGGAGGCCAGCACCTAGCACAGTGCCTAGATACAGGAGGTGCTCAAAAAACACTTATTGTATCCTGAACCAACCAGATCTAGTCCAGAAACCCACCACTGAAGATTTAGCCAACGATGTCCTCTTTTGAGCCACATGAGTTATCAGATTTAGCATCAAATGATTCTGGCTACTTCTAAAACTTGAAACTACATTCAAAGAGGAAGATGCAATTCCGAAAGAGGACTTCCATGCCACTTGTGAGCCACAGCAGCAGAGTTAAAAGAAAAATGTAGACCCCCTAAGAGGACTGCTTTGAAAAGGAAAATACCCATTTGGATATGTAAGTTGTGCTTTGTAACAGTAATAATTCATACTTCATTGCCTCAAACAAAAGTTTAGGTTGGTGACGCATGATAGTTATAGGTCAGCTGAGAGCCTCCAGATTTAACAGAGGGCTATGTGCTTCCTTCCCACGACATGGAAGTAAGGCTGCCCTTCTACACTCGTTCCGGGGACTCAGGATGCCAGTGCTAACGATGCAGGCCTTCACTTCCTCAGTTAGGAATAAAACCTAAAAAATAGGACAGCTAAAATAGGACATGTTAAAATAAAATAAAATTAAAATAAAATAATATTCTAATATAGAATAGCTCTCAGGAACAAGTGGGAAGTCTGAGACTTTAAAAATATACTTCTCAGATGAATTCATGAAGTCAGAGGGGTT